AGTCTAGAGTAAGCATTAGGGTTCATTTGGATAATGAATATAACAACTCAACAATCCATAGTTGGGGCTAATCCCTCATAACTATTTGAACCCTAAATCTAACATATGAATCTACTCAGACATAGCCAAGAGATTCATAGCAAAAGAATAAGAAGAAAAGAAAATGCTTTTATTGCTAAATAGAATAGAATACAAAACTAGGCTCAGAACTTCATATCTCTAAAGGCTCATAGGCATAGGTATAAATAGGGAGTACAATTAGGTTAAAAAACTCGTCACGGGCAGTCTTGTAATTTGGTGAGAACTTGGGCTTCAAGTTGGCCAAATACATCTTGCTCATCACGCTCTGTATTGATCGATGGTACATTGCGTACATCGATCGATGGAGGATCTCGACTTCAACTTCTACGGAAGCGTCATCGATCGGTTACACAGGGTGTGTATCGATCGATATGTATCTCTTATATTGGATCTTCATAGTCATCTTGGAAAACTCTTCTTTAAGCACCAAAAGGCACCTAAATCATCACTTTACCACAAAATGCTCCTGAACCTGAAAACATACCTAATAGACTCCAAAACGTAGATATTTATAATAAAAACATATAGAAAATGTGACCAAAAGCGGGTCAAAATCATGGTCTATCAACTCCCCCAGACTTAACCTTTTGCTTGTCCTCAAGCAAACATCAAGTTAGTCTTTGAAAAGAAGTTTAAAAACAGCAGGGACTCAATCAAAATCTTAACTTAAAAATCATAACCTCTTACTTTGTTGCATACCACATCTTATTCTATCAACTACAGGAGTACATTATACCATATCCTAGCTTAGCAACCTAATCATCTAGCCAACCAACTTAAACATTCCTTGTCTGTTTGTCCCCTCTACTGATTTCATTTATGCATAAAAATAAAGGTGTAGGCTTTACCTTGGGAGTATCGATCAAGGAACACTGGATTCAACTCAAACAAGTTTTCAGGCATTCTCATCCTGGTTCCCTTTCTTTTTTATCCCCCTTCTCTGAATCCCAACTCTTTTTTCTTTTATATCAATCGCAATGAACAGTTAATGTTCATCTTATTGATCTTTCTCAATTTGTAAGCGAATAGTGGGGTCATAGGTAATGTACCTCTCCCTCTGCCTCTCAGGAAATCATCTCAATCTTTTATTTTCTGGGGATGCTGAAGGAAGGAAAGAAGGAAACCAATTTTTTTTGAGATTTTTACCTTCCAGACTTGCAAGAGGATTCCGATCCCTTGTATACCAAGCCCCAAGACAAGGAATAGATGTCAGGTTAGGTTGGAAATCAGCTTTGGTTCTTCCAGACAATCATGAAAGTGTTGACATAGGTGATCGGTGATCCACTTTTGCATCTATAGTACTTTCTGCAATCAATAAACCTAAGAATGGTGCTAAAGAGTGGTAAGATAAAAAGTAAGACTTTGAAAATTTTCCTCTTTCTTGACTCAATAAAACCAATTTTTGAAAACTTTATCAAAAAGATCAAAAAAGAGGTAAAGTAGCATCAGTAATCAACTCCCCCCAGACATAAATCATACACTGTCCTCAGTGTATAATCAGTCGGAGTTAGAGCATAAGAAAAATTAAATATGTGTAACTGATATCGAAAATTGGAAACGATATACCTGACCGATATGGGTATCGATCGATGGTGAGTCGCCATCGTCGATCGATGCGTGGTTGTCTGTGTCGAGCGATATCGACTGGTCGTATCGGTCGATAGGTATGGATCGTGTTTCTATCTTCCTAAAAACAAATAAAAACGAAACTAGTTAGTAAAAATAAAATAAAATAAGTTAGTAAAATACCTAACAGTGGGTTGCCTCCCACTCAGCGCTTGTTTAAAGTCATTTTAGCTTGACTATGGAAGTATGGTTGCTAGTGAGGTGGGCTGCAGGTACTTGTTGGTAAACAAGTGTCCTCCTTGTCTTGTGTTTCATCAAACCAAGAGGTTAGAAAGCTTCTTGTGGCCTTCTCACTTCTGGTCATGTTAGTCTTTAAACCATAAACTTCTGCATGGATCTTTTCGAACCACCATTCTAAGTTGGCAATGCTGTACTGATGGTTGCCAATCATGCTGTAGATATGTTCTGTTGTGTGCTGCATGGTATCGTGGTGTGGTGGATCGTCGGTTGAGGTTGGAGGTTGCATATCGATCGATGCGTTGGGTGCTTCATCGATCGACGGCGATGGGTCAGGTCGGCTGGCGAGCTGTCTTTGGATATCTGCTACCTCCATCTGAATGTCTTCCATTGTGCATTCCAGACCTTTGAAGTCACTGTGTAGGCGAAACAAGTATTCATCCAGGATTCTATAATCTTCGTCTTCACAAAACTGGATAGATTTGTAGATTTGTGCTGTGGTTTCTTCAAATTCCTCTCTGGTACAGAATTCTTGAGCTCGGGTGTCGATCGATGGACCGGGTGGGTCATCGATCGATAGCGTCTGGAAGTGGTCTTCGATCGGGTTAGGTACGGGTACATCGATCGATGCAGGGGGATCTGTATCGGTCGATGGCTGTGGTTGAGACTTTAGTTGTGCGCGCAGAGTGTTGACTTCTTCTTGTAGGGCGTCTCGTGTCCTTCGTACTTTGTCATTGTGGCTGGTCTGCCATACCATTTCACTTCGAAGTCTTGATAGTTTATCTTCAAGGTCAAATTTCGCGCTATCTTCCAGTTGTGATCGCTTGTAAGGCCATCAAGCATGTAGGTGACTTCATTCTATGTGTAGAGCTTGCCATCGAGAACTCCTTTAGCAAACTGATCAGCATATCCTGGTAGGCAGAAACAAGAGCGACCAAATAGTGAGGCTCTCTTCAGCAAGTTTTCCATGTCTTTTTTGGTGACAGGGATGATGTCTCCGTTTACTGCTCGTGCATGGCCAGATCTCTGTAGACTCCAAATTCGTCTTGGAAAACTCTTCTTTAAGCACCAAAAGTCACCTAAATCATCACTTTACCACAAAATGCTCCTGAACCTGAAAACATACCTAATAGACTACAAAACATAGATATTTATAATAAAAACATATAGAAAATGTGACCAAAAGCGGGTCAAAATCATGGTCTATCAGAGTACTTTTATAAATCAAAGAACTAAAAGCATAAAAAGCATGCAAAGCTTAAAAGGTACAAAAAAACATGTCTAGCCAAAATACATAGGCATAACTATAAATATGAGTTCCATTAGGTTAAAAACTCGTCAAGGGCAATCTTGTAATATTGAGAGAACTTGGGCTTCAAGGCCGAGTCAACTTGTTCTTCACGCTTCATATTGATCGATGGTACATGGTGTACATCGATCAATGGAGTATCTCAATTCGTCATCTTCTACGGAAGCGTCGTCGATCGATTACACAGGATGTGTATCGATCGATATGTATCTCTGGATATCGTGATTGATACTCTCGAGGACTTATCTTCATCAGGAGACAGCGGACCACATTGTCCTCCTTAAGCCGTGGATTTTAAAGCAGTTGAAAAAGCAGTCGACTGAGTTCAAGAACAAGTTATTTCAGATGGAGACAAACATATACAGGCGCTTAGGTGTACCCAAGAAGACCATCAAGAAGAGCCGCAAGAGGAAGGCCAATGATGATAATCATGGACAGTCTGGGTGTCTGATAAGTGGTGTCCCCCAAACACATCGGCCAACCAGCAGGGCCAAAAAACTAAAACCCACGGTTAGTAGCCCTGGTCAGAAAAAACATTCGTATTCACTTCGCTCTATAGAAGGCAACGACATCTCTGAAGCAGTACGCCCAAGTTATCGTGTCTTAAGTTGAAATATTCGTATATGTTATATTTTCTGACCTGACCACCTTTTTCAGGGAACCAAAGAAGACACCGCAAGGTTATTTCAGAGGGAGTTAGGCAACGAAAACGAGTATCACAACACTCGTAGTCCATCATTAGATGAAAATGTCTTCAATTAAGTTAAGTCTGAGACACTTTTTTTGTTATAAGGTTGGTTTGTCATTGGTGTACACTTCTAATATGTGGTATATGGTTTTAATACAGTGTATGCGTACACCCAATGCTGGTGAGGATGGTGTGCAAGTAGAAAAAACTGGTAATGCAGTCACTACGCTAACCGTGCATTCGAATGTTTTATTTATGCGTCCTCAGTGTTATGTGTTACGAACAAATGTCAGTGTAACTGGAACTATTAATAGTTGGATTTTAATTTGGTAAATATTGAGAACACGATTTTTACTGATATTTTCATATTCTCACTGTTTGCAGAGTCATTTATTCAGGCGTTACCGGGATGAAGAACCCATAATTTTCGCGTGGGAGGAAACAAACTGTAATCTCTACAACCGGGTAAAATCAGCACGTGCCAGTCATCCTTCATCATCAACCTACCCCGCCTCTGAACCAAATGTTGCATCCACCGTAATTGAAGACATTGGTGAACCAGTTCCCTTTAACGTCATCATAGGAAAAGTTATATCTGCAGTTGTCGGTGATAAAAAAGTTGAAAAACCCAAATTGGATGTTCCAAAACCAGTACATGTCGAAGAGAATCTTGAAGGATTTTCTTCCCATGTTTTGGAGTGCCGTGTACCTGACCCATCTTTCGTAGATGAGAGGAACCTTGTGTCCCCGACGATGGAGGAGGATGAAAAATATGAAAGTTGCAAGGACAATATCTCCAATGATTCCCAATTGCAAGATAAAGAAACCCAAGCGAAACGAGGCCATCCGGTTTCTGACACCGACCGAAATGAGGCCATCCGGTTTCTGACACCGACGAGGGCTCGAATGATGTGGAGAGTGGTGGTAAATGTTACTGAAAAATATCCAATACGATTCAAAGAGTTTACACCCCAGACGCAAGGTTTAAAGGGTCCCTCAGCAGTGAAAAGAAGGTTGAGTATAAGTCCATAGGGAAGAAGAACCGAGTGGTTTTTAAGAAGTATGCAATTGTTTTTAGGTTAAACCTTGCATAGTAAGTTTCTCATCCCATATTCTGATCCCACATTGATATTACTTGATTTCATTTTTTATGAAATGATAAAAAAATATTCTATTGGGTGCATTACTTTCCAAGAAGTTTGAAATCAAAACCGGTAGCATTATCACGAATTCCTTCTTCCTTGACATAGCTGAACCAAGGAAATGGTCGTCCGGCGAGGTACTATTTAAATTTTCATCGTCGTCATATAATAATTTTTCATCTCTTATGAAGAAAGGTTTGCAACTTACGTTTTTGTTTATAATAATGTCACACAACACATGCATGTCATAATGAAAATGTTGTAGAGGCGCGTGGGAAGGTTCTTCAAAAAGAAGGGATGGTAATGTTTGATCCATACTTTACTAAGCTCATTCAATCAGAATGGACTGCTTTCAGTAAACAAGAAGAAAAGCTGCATTTCAATTGGGGAAAGAATATAACAAGTTATGTGACAAGAAAGAACAAGGGTAAAAACCTTAAATTGGAATTTGGCCGCGATGTTGACATGGTGTACACTCTAGTGATGTGGGGTAGAAAGCATTGGGCGGGTCTCTGTATTAACCTGCTGACTTCTCACGTGATGATCCGTGATTCTTACATCCCTCACAGTGACACTGAAGAAAAAATTGATGCACACATGGCTCCGCTTCTTAGCTCGTTACCATATATATTGGAATAGTATGTGGGGTATGATGTTTACCACACAAAGGAAGGTAAGCGATTTTACAAGTGGAGCCGCTTTGAAGACATCCATCACAACGAAAGGAGTGGTGACTGTGGATCATGTGCAGCTAAGTTCATTGAGATGCATACTAATGGTGCTGGCAAGGAGGAGATGGGTTTATACAGAGAAAGCTGTGGACAGATTTCAAGAAAAATATGACATGGACTGCTACGAAAAATTCGTTGGCAGTTTTAGAGTGAAAATGAGGGGTGAATGGAGTACAAGTTTTTTTCTGTTACTGGTGGTTTTTCGTACACATTTACTGCATGCATGATTACTTAAGTCGTGCTATTATAATTCTTTCTGAACTTGGTGCTACATTGTGTGTGAACTTAATCCTACGTTATGTGTGGTTAACTCGTGAACAATTAAACATATACTTTATTGTTTACTCTTTTATTTAGGGTATTTGTGTTATGGTTTTATTGTAAAATAACAAATATACACATCAAATTAAGCTGCACATCAACACGTTTTCAAAGTCGTTGATAGATATCGAAATTCGAGATATTGTTACTTTTCTCTTTTGAAAATTCAACTCCAGATACTGCACACCAAGAAATTTTAATTTTAAATAACGCAAGTACACCTCCAACAGTAAGATGCACACCAACCCATTTTCTAATCGTTAATAGGTATTGAAACACAAGCGAGGATTGACATTCTTGTATATAATCTGAATTGTAAGAACATTTTATAAGATGCACACCAACTTCTTGTGTACAATGTCTGATATTATACAAGGTGTGTAGTACAAAGTTTGGTGTACAAGGTTTGATGACGTGTGGTGTACAAAGTTTGATGTACATTGTTTGGTCTACATCGTTTGGTGTATAACGTTGTACAAAGGACAACAGACATACTGTGAGTATGAAAACTATATTTAGAGATAGAAAGACTTCATTATACCAACGATTCTCAAAACAACAACACAATAACAGAAAACATGACAATTTTGAACTTCAAAATAAAATAAGATCAAACATACAATAACACTAAACTTCAAATAAGATAACATCGAACATTACATGAAACATCACATTTTCGAACTTCAAATAAGATAACATTATCGACCGTACATAACTAATTCCTTAACCTCTTTGATCTCTTCACACATTTCCGTAATCTCATCTTCTATCCTCCAACGTCTTTTGGCCTCTTCAGCAGCTTCTTTCTTTACCTCTGTTTTCTCTTCTCCTATAGCAAACACACAGCGATGAAGAATGTGGAATCCATCGTCCTGAAGAATATAATCCAGATTAGTTAGGTCGTTAAAATAATTGCAACGATATAAGATTATGAACTTCGTACTGACTGATTCCTTTTTTCGTCAAAAGATTGCAACGAATAAATCTTATCTCAAACATTTGCATTCATATTAACTAATTCTTTTCTCTTCAGTTGCCACTGTGATAGGACCACTGCACACGTATTTTTGGATATGCAATTGTGAGCGTAGTAAACCATTTCACGCCAATCATTATCCCTTTCGTGTTGCTTCATGTCGGTATAGTAAGGATCCCTCATTCTGAACTGTTAAGGCTAAGAAAAGCTAATGTTGAGGTTTTGAATAACTAATATCATTGTTCAGTGACCTTAAATAGAGGAAAACCGGACAATTAACTTCATTGTGTAATAGTAATATTCCTTTACAAGGTAACAACTACATTTTGAATCAAACTCTAACGGCTACATTTTCAAGTTTGTTATATTTTTTTATGTTTAAAATTTTGAATTAAAGTAACCAGAGAGTCAAAGATGAAATTTTGCAATATAAGATTATTTTATTGTAATAGAAATATGTCTATTTTTAAACCAAAGAGCCAAACAAAAAATCAGTCCCTTTATAAAATCAAGAAAATATGGGATCTTGGGTTCGTCTGATAGAATAAATAGATATTTAGTAACATTCGGCTATAATGTCTCAGGGTGACAATTTACAGAGTGTGAATTCAGATAGTATCATCTCGTCATCCTCAACAGACAATGGGGGTGCGTTCTGCATGCAACCACACAACGAGAATTCAGAGAGCCTTGACTCGTGATAATCTCGGGCAGAGATTCCTTGGGTGCAGAGGAGACGGGTTGGGAATAACTATGTCAATTTTAAGTTCTTTCAGTGGTTTGATCTGTAGCCAACATATGGATGCCAGTACATTGCTTTACTGGAAACGCATGATATAATCCGCGAGCATAAAGGGGACATAGTAAATATGGGAGACCAAGTAAATAAACAAATCTCGGATGAATTCTATGAAAGGCTTGATGAAAAAATTGAAGAATGTGAAGCTTTGAAAAGATAAGTGTTGGTACTTAGCGAGAGGAGTTCGATGCTTCGTCATGTATTGACGGCTTCGTCCGTTGGATTTGTGGTTGTTTTCGGAGGGATAATTGGTTTTTATGCCAAGGATTAGAATGTTTGAAAGTGGATTTATTGTTGTTTTGGGAAGGATAATTTTTATTTATGTTTTTGAATGTTATAAAGTTTAAATGTTTTAAGTTGAATTTAATGTTTTTTACTGTAGTGGTTTTTAAATTATAGTTATAGTGGTAATACACAAAACGCTGCGTAATTATGCATTCATGGTGACAATCGGTCGCTTATCTTCATCTCTCAAAACCTTATAAATACACCCTCACAATTCTATTGTCTCTAAAAACCAAAACAAATTCATACAAATATTTTCATGTTAGAGGATACAATACAATTGTAGCAAGGAGATTCTTCTGTTAAAGAATACAATATATTGTTTCAGAAATCGGGCCTGCATGAAAAACACGTTGACAAAACTTGGTAAGTATGTATCGAGAAGGCTTACGATAGGACATACTGTCAGAGATTGGATCAACAGGGTTTTTGAGCATAGACGACATAATGCAGACACTAAACCCTAAACACTAAACCCTAAACCTAAAACCTGTACCCTAAATCCTAAACCCTAAACCTTAAATCATATTCGCTTACGAGTTTATCGTATATCTGACCACACAAATTGGTTCAATATTATTCATGTAAAAAAAACAGGTTTTGGTACGCAAAATGATGCATGTGAAATAAATAACTACTAGTTAATGAAACTTATAGCATTCCGCAAACAACAAGAAATCCAAAATAACGGGATCGTCATTGTTCCAAAATACAATCATATCCAAAATAACGGATTCATCGAAGTTCCAAAATAATGGGTTTGTCGCTATTGAGATCATGGAACTGGTTTCTTGTATCTAGTCTTCTTGCAACATTCCTTAGAACACCTGGAACACTAGTTCGGCTTCTTCTTTTTCTTTGGCACCTCCTATAAACATAAAAGTATATATTATTGGAAGGTGTACAATAAGTTTCTAATTAACTAGTGAAATATATAAACAAAGTGTTTTACCGGAACCTCTCTTGCAGAAATTTTTGTTTTAATGCCTGAGCTTCCATTCGTTCTTTTGGTCGTTGGTGGATGAAGCTCGACATTTAGTATTGCTTCCGAAAAAGGATATCCTTTGAATTTAGAATAAGTAGTATGATAACTGATGTCACTCAAATGTATAACCTAAGGAGTGATTTTACTCTCTCAAATAAGAGGTTCAATCGTAGCACTTAAGGATCGAATCCACAAGGAACTAGAATCACGAAAGATATAATCTTAAGTGATTAAGCTAGGTTGAAAAAGTTTAAAACAGTAAATAGAATAAGTAGCAAGGGTTAGTTGCTAAGGAAAATAGGTTTTGTGTTTGAAAACAATAAAGAGAAATAGTTAGATTCAAGGTTACTATTCAAAAAATCAGGATTATAAATCTATGGATGTCTTAACGAATTGCTTGCAAATATATGAGAACTTCAATCGATCGATGTTGCTATCGCAGTGTCGATCGATATAAGCTGTCGTCGATCGATAACTATAGAGGAGTATCAATCGATATTAAGTATCAGATCGGATTGAACTTTGTTCACCCGAGAATTTCTATCAGACCGGCTGTCGCATCGTGCCTTAATAGAGTCTGGGTTTAGCCAAATGATTTCAGGAAGATGAGTATTAGATTAGTCACTCCATAATCAATACTCTAGGTAGCAAGTCTAAATTAAGCATTAGGGTTCATTTGGATAATGAATATAACAACTCAACAATCCATAGTTGGGGCTAATCCCTCATTAACTATTTGAACCCCAAATCTAACATATGAATCTACTCAGACATAGCCAAGAGATTCATAGCA